ATTATTACAATAATTTAAAAAATATGAAAGTTTTGAAATAAATTCTTTGTTTTATTTATTTATTTATTATTATTTTTTTTTGAAGAATCAAAATGTGTAAAATCCTCATTTAGGTTAATTTCCCTAACTTCTAACTTAAAAGAGCATTACCCAACGCCTACGACGGTGATGGAGACTAAGTAGAGACTCACAACTTAGTAGTATCCACTGTCATCATAGATAATGTAAAGTTACATGAAACTTGAATTTGGCTACTTTAAGAGAATGACTTATACGACACGAGTAAACTGACACGTGACATCTTGCTAATGAGTTAAAGATATGTAAGCAAAAACTTATATTGATTTCATTAATAAATAACACCACTATAACGGTGTACGCGTACAATGTAAAAATTTCTCATACTTTAGACGCACAACTTTCAATATTTTATTTTATTATAATAGTTATGTATCAAAGTACAAAGTCAGAATATCATTCCAACTTTCCCTTTTCTTTTCTTTTCTTTTTTGGCCAATAGTTTCTCCAACTATGGCCTAGTCGGAATGGTTCCCGTGGTCATAATCAGATTCCACTTCAACTCACGGTTTCATTGCTTCGAAATAGGGAGCACCTGTGAATGAGAGTTTTGGTTATGAGCAATGAATGGAATGGATGAAATGACTATCTTAACCTCACTCGTGAGGTTCATGGATAGATTATTTACAAAGGAATGACGGAAAACTTTAATTGTGAACATAAATCCTAATAGATGTCACCACATGAGTTTAAATCTAATTTTATTTACCACACAGACTATCTTCCCAATACTTTATAACTACGAAAACCATTTATGGCCTACATCAAAGTACAAACTCAGAATTTCATCCCGTTGTCCCTTTCTTTTTCTTTTTCGGTCAATAGCTTTCCCTTTTATTTTCTTTTCCTTGTTTCACAAAATTTTAATGCTCACCATCAGACTTTTGGCCCCACATGGATACATGTGAATGTTATTCCTCCTCAATTTAAATTTAATAATGTTATTCCTCTATTTAAATTTAATACATTTACATAACCATTTAGAGAAGTGCATGATAATTTTTCTAAGTAGCACCTCTCAACACATATTGTAAAGGATTAGTACAACGCACGTGATTAGTAGCGCACTGAATCTCCACTTGATTGAAAAATGTCTCAAGTTTGACTCACATGAATAAGAAAACAATATTAAGCATAGGAAGTTTGATCCGTTATAAAAATATTTTGAAAAATCTTACTAAATTGAACAATTTACTATTTAAATTAATGAACTGGTCATACTCACAATTTATCGATTAAATACTGAATAATGATATGTTAACCATTCAAATTTGTAATTTATTTTTTTTCAGTTAATTTAGCAAGTGTTTTTGTAAATATTTTAATTTTCCAAAGAAAAGAAAATAAGTGGACATTCACTTGCCAATCTCTCTTGCATACTTTTTTATTTTAGTTTTTATTATTAAATTAAATATTTTAACATAATTGACGAACATAATTAAATAAATTATGACAAGTGGTCTAGTTAAATGTGATAGAATTTCAAGTCAAGTTTGCTCTCTTGTCTTGGATTCGAGACATGAAACTAACAAAAGCAAAAATGGTTATTTGGTTGAAAACTTTGGGAGCACGTGTACCATTAATTTGACCGTGATGAGAAGGAGACTGAAATGTCGTTCGTCTTCCAAACCCTAATGAAATTTAATTCTGCCCTTTAGAATGTGGGATGCCTCATACTTTGGCAAAAAAAAAAAAAAAAAAAAGAGGTGTGCTATCGACACATCTCTTTTTACTTCCTACACAGCTTTTTAATATAATCGTCGAATCAACTGAATTAAAGAAATCAAAGAACATACATTAATAAGAGATGTATAAAAAGTAAAAATAAGTGCGAATAAAAAATAAATAAAAAAAGAGTCAAACGCGCCCAAAAAAAGGTCCAAACATAATTAAAGTGTGTTTTTCACAAAGAAAAAATGTTTCACATACCCAATTCGTGAGTTTCCAAATTTGGGTTATAAAGCTCGCCTCCCGCTAAGAGCATCCCCAGCGTGGGGTTTAGCTCGGGGGACGGGCTCCAAAACGGAGGCCCGAGTGAAGGTGGACCAGCTCCAGCGTTGGGAAGCCGGGGGGAAGGGGAAGGCCCGAGGGCCAGGCCCGTGAGGAATTGACAGGCCTTGAGCCCGGGGTGGGAGTGACGCCATGCTGACGCCAGGGTGGCGTCAGCCTATTATTTAATTTTTTTTGTGTCAGGCGCGTGCACCCCACCCGCGCGTGGGGGCGCGTCCTGACACTTTAATCAGAAAAAAAAAAAGTTTTGTCTGTTACCGTTGGGAAGCCACGTGGCTTCCCACGGTACGTTAGATCCTAACGGTCACTTAATGTGGACCGTTAGATCTCAACGGTAAAAAATTTTAAAACTGTCAGATTTAATATCCACCGTTCGATCTGAGATCAACGGTGGATATTAAAATGCTTTATAAATTAAAAAATAAATGAAAAAATAGTTTAAAAAATCTGAAAAGTTACCGTTGTGACACGTGGCACAATCTGGAGCGTTGGAATTCAAATTTTTTTATATCCAACGGCAGAGATTAATTAATTGAATAAAAATTCAAAAAAAAATGTAAAAAATTCAAAAAAATTCAAAAAAAAATGTAAAAAATTCAAAAAAATTCAAAAAAAAATGTAAAAAATTCAAAAAAATTCAAAAAAAAATCTGAAAGAAATTGTAAAAAAAAATGTTTTTACTTTTCTATAAATACCTTCTCATTATCATCTACCTTCACAACAATTTCATATTTTCTCAACCACTTTCAATCACATTCCTTTCTTTGTCTCAAAGTTTGAATCCATTTTTTTTCAACAAAATGACCACTGGTGCAGGTACGAATTGGTCGCTTATTGAAGATGTTGCGTTGTGTACTAGCTGGGTTGAAGTTACTCATAGTTCGCTTACGGGTAATGAGATGCAGTTGCGAGAAATGTGGAGTCTTATTCATACCAATTATCTTGAGAAAATTGGTGGGAAAAGAACCAAAGAATCGATGTCCAGTCGTTGGAAATTACTTAGCCAATCGTTTAGTACGTGGAGAGACGCTTTGGCACAAGCTAGTAATAATATTCGAAGTGGGGAAAATTACTCGGATATGGTAACAAGATATTATTATTTATTGTTTGTATTCTTTATTTGTTACGTACAAAATTTATTTATTTATTGTTACTTATTTGTTACATTATAATTATGTTGTTTGTTACATTATAATTATGTTATTGTTACTTATTTGTTACATTTATTTGTTACATTATAATTATGTTGTTTGTATTATTTATTTGTTACTTATTTTCATTAAAATTAATGTATATATATATATATTTGTTAATTATTTTCATTATTTACTAAACTTGAAGCCTTCTTATTTGCTTTGTTACTTATTTTCATTATCTTTGTTACTTATATATATATATATATATATATATATATATATATATATTTGCTAGTTACTTATTTTCATTATAATTATTTATTTGTATTATTTATTTGTTACTTATTTTTATTGTGTAGGAACTTCAAGCACAAGCTTGGTATGCTGCCAAAACCAAAGGCAAAAATAAATCATTCAACCGGTGGGAATGTTGGAATATTGTCAAAGATTGTCCTAAATTTAGAGTTGTGCCAGTTGGTCCAGAAGTGCACATGAACAGCACCCCTCTAAACTCTACACCCGATCATGTTCATGAAGATGATGCAGAAGAAGTGCCCGAAACGCCCCTCCCTGAACAAGCGTCGGGTTCGACCCGTTTTCCAATTAGGCCTCAAGGTAAGAAGGCTACAAAGAGAAAAGGGAGTGCTTCCAAGAACGATTATGCAAAGTTCATGGAAGAACTTACTCGCCAAGGTGAATTGACTTTGGCGAGGGAACTGGCGAAAGATGAGGCTGATAAGGCTGATAAGGCATCAAAAGCAGCAGCTGTTGAGAGAGAATTTTATGCTAATGAGAGAGAAAGAGAGCTACTTAGGCAAGAAAGGGAACATGTTAGAGAAGAAAGACGAGCTCAACAAGATCGTGAGATTATGAACATGTCTTTAGAAGGGAAGTCTCCAAATTCTAAATTTTTTTGGAAGTCAGAGAAAGCGGACGTGGTGCGAAGGAGGCGTGCAAGAGAAACAATAGCAAGCCAATGTGGTTCTAGCACCGCAAGAGAAGATCATCCTAGCAGCACAAATTGGTTAAGTGATGATGAATAGAGTACTTTTTGTAATCGGAGCCCATAATTTTCCAATCACTTTGGGTTGTAATTTATTATTTATTGTTTGTATTATTTATGTTGTTTCCATGTTCATGAATATTTATTCAAATTAATTTGGTAAGTTATTTATATTAAGAATTAATTTGGTAAGTTATTTAATTTGGTAAGTTATTTATGTTGTTAAAAGTCCATTAAACATAAACATAAACATACTAAGAATTACATAAACATAAACATAAACAAAATTACATAAACATAAACATAAACATACTAAGAATTACATAAACATAAACATAAAAAAATTACATAAAAAAATTACATAAACATAAACATAAAAAAATTACATAAACATAAACATAAACATATACTAAGAATTACATAAACATAAACATAAAAAAATTACATAAACATACCAAATAATAAAACACACCAAATAAAATAACATAAACATACCAAATTCAAAATAACACACTAAAATGAACTTAATTATCCTCAGCTTGTTTCAATGCCCACTGGTGCTCTATCAAGTCAATTTGTCGGGCATTGTGCATGTCTGGCATTTGAAATGCAGTATATCGTTGAATGAGCCTTTCATTGTAACGTCCATCCCTTTGTAATGGCTCGTGTTGCACGGGGTCATCGGTGGCGTCATGAGCACAATATATACGTGTTCTTGAATTGTTCATCGGGTCTGGCTCATATTCATCAACAGCTTCATAATCGTACTCATCTTCCACAATCATGTTGTGAAGAATGATGCACGTCATCATGATGGATCGAAGCGACTCTACATCAAACAATCTGGCCGCACCCCTGACGATCGCCCAGCGAGCTTGGAGGATACCAAAACAACGCTCCACATCCTTCCTGCACCCCTCTTGACAGCTTGCAAAGTGTTTTTCCTTCGCACTCCGCGGACGTGGCACTGTTTTGACAAATGTTGACCAGCGCGGGTAGATGCCGTCAGCTAGGTAGTATGGCCCGTCGTACATACGTCCGTTGACCTCATATGTAACTTTTGGTGCCTTTCCTTGCAGGACATCGTTGAACACTGGGGATTGGGCAAGGACGTTGATGTCATTTTGAGCTCCCGGGACCCCGAAAAAGGCGTGCCAAATCCATGTATCAAAAGATGCCACCGCCTCCAGAATGATACTTTTTGCCCCTTTTCTGTCCCCGTAAGCGCCTTGCCATGCACTTGGACAGTTTTTCCACGTCCAGTGCATATAATCAATGCTTCCAATCATCCCAGGAAAGCCACGCATCTCCGCCTTCTTCAACAGCCGCTCCAAGTCCATGTGTGTGGGTTTGCGGAGGTACTCAGCGGTGTAGATAGATTCGATTGCTCCGCAAAACCTCATCAGGGACTCAAGAATGGTTGATTGCCCCATCCTCGTTATCTCATCCACTTGGTCTGCAGATGCTCCATATGCAAGCATCCGCAAGGCAGCAGTAATTTTTTGCTCCGGCAGTAGACCCATAGCACCAAAAGCATCTTTTTTTTGCACAAAATAAGAATCATGGTTGCAAACAGCAATCATGATTTTGTTGAACAAATGTCGTTCCATTCTAAAACGACGTCTAAAGTACGTATCAGGGAATGCACTATTAGAAACAAAATAATCATCCAAGAGTTCCATACCTCGTCGTTGCCTGCTTCTATCAATGTTTCCGGAACGCCTGGGCCTGCAGATCTGAGCCGCAGCTTGGATGACTCGACGGGAATGTGAGGCTCTGCCCCTTCTTACGTCGTCATCTCTCATTTGACGCTCCTCATCTTCTTCCCTCTCATTTCTTACCCCCTGCTGATTGAACATTGATTCTGATTGGTTAAACAAGTCTTCCTCTTCTTGATTCAATTCCCACATCATCCTTGAGGAAGAAGAAGAAGACATTGAAAGAAAGAAACAGAAACTATGAATATTGAAACTGATTTTTGTGAATAAGGAAGCAGAAATTTTGAGATCAATGATAGAGATCTTGAGAATTTTGGTGTGAGATTTGTGAAGATGGATGGTGGATTATATAGAGGATTCAGAAAGGCTTAGGTTCTGCATAATGCCACGTGGCATGCCGTCATTCGTTAAAAATCTGATGGAAATCTATCATCCAAGATTGTTAACAGATTATGACACGTGGCATGCCGTCATTCGTTTAAAATCTGATGGAAATCTATCCTCAAAGATTGTGAACCGATTATGACACGTGGCGCGACGTGATTGGTTAATAATCTTATCAGAAATCCATATTATAATTATTTATTTTGTATTATTTAATAATACTTAGGATAATGACACGTGGCGCACCGACAACGATTAAAAATCTTATCCGATATTACATTTAAAATTATTTTGTATTAATTTTATAAATAAAAAAATACTAATATTTTATTGCCTATTGCCAGGGCTATAGAAGTGTAACGGTGGAGATGCAAAATCTATTGCCAGGGCTACTTACTGTTCATTAAGGGCAATTACTGTTCATTAGGTGGATTGAATAGTGAATTGCCAGGGGGGAGGGCTCCAACGCTGGAGTTGCTCTAAAGTGCGCCCGGGGTGTATGTACTACAGCTGACTCTCAATTACGGTTCGTTCTTTATGAACTATAAGATTATAGGAGCCGTAGGATCAACTGACGGATCAATCTCGTCCCATTTCGCGCTTCTCGTATCCGTTTCCTGCAGAAAGATTCATCATTTCTCATAAAACCATTGTCAGAGACTCAAGGGTACGGTAATCTCTCTCTCTCTCCTCTCTCTCTCTTAAGTTCTCAATTAATGTTCTGGAAAGGAAGAGATACAGAGTGTACTAGCTCTCTGAATCATATGGGTTTTTAATCAAGACGATGAGCTTATTATTTGTTGGGTAGCTCCACATTTCCATGGATTGCTAGGGTCTTACTCAATACATTGTTTTGACGTGCTTTTTTTGATCAAAAAGGTCGAATTTTTTTGGGTTCTCTGAGTTACTCGGTTTGATCGAGATGACGAGCTTGAATTTTTGTTAGCTAGTTGCAGAGTTTTCATGGATTCTTGGGGTTTTTATGTTAGAAACTGTTTTCAAGAACTTGGTTTTGTTAAAAGGTAGCAGCTTTTTGGGTTAATGAAGTAAATAAAAATATGGGTAGTGCATATTTTTCGGGATTTCTTCTGAAATTGTGTTTTTTTGAGGATGGAGTTTTCAAAAATGGCGTTTTTTCTTCTTCTTCTGGTTCTGAAATTTGTGAAGCTATTTTGTGTGTCAAAAATGGCGTTTGATCATTCATTTTTTCTTTGTTCTCTACAACCATGTTTATAATCTTTTATGTATCGTTATAACTGTACTCATTTGGAAATTTTGGCTGATTTCGGATGTATTTCGATGGCGGAATTCTTACGGCCTTTAGAGTTTCGGGTTAAACCCTAACCACTTTCCTTTCTTCAATTTCATGTCTATGCAGGTCTTGGAATCTCTGAGTATTCCCCCCTCCCAGTCCTATTTCATTCATTTGGTGGTAGACTGTATTTTGTCACAAATGATTCTGTATGTAGCACATGATCTTTGTTTCTTTTTCAGGTTTGCGTTATAATTTCGACCTTTGTATCGAAAATGGGGGCCGGCAGGAAGACACAGACCTTTACTTTATCTTCTTCTCAAGACATGGCACCCTACTCTGCATCCATGAGGAATTTGCGGCGGAATAGCCTTGGTGGAGTCATCTTCGGTGCCACGAGATTCACAATTGACGAATGTCTATCTAAACAACTATTTGGTCAGTGTTCTTAGCTTTACTACTTGTTTGTTCCTAACTTCTGCATTTCCTGTTTTCGGTTTTTAATTTGGTTTAAACCAGTTGTGTAGTGAATATGCGCCAATTCGTTTTTCCTTATCTGTGTTGCAAGTGCATTGCCAGCTTCACGTAAATTCCCTTTTCGCGAGCCTGAAAACAGTGTAGCCAGTTTATTAAGCACACAACTTTCTGCAAATGATGAACGTTGTCTGTTGCTTTCGTGCAATACTAGTGCTCATTTCATGTTTTAGTTTAGTTTCGGGTCAATGCACTCATGAGTTATGTTCAACATTCTTCCAGGCTTACCAGCTGCACACTATATGTATGTGAAGAACATTACTCGTGGCTTGCCACTTTTTCTCTTCAACTATTCCGATAGGAAGCTACATGGAATTTTTGAGGCTACTGGCCTTGGGCAAATGAATATCAATCCATACGGATGGAGCACTGATGGTTCAGAGAGAACGCAGTATCCTGCGCAGGTATAAAATAAATAGTTTCTCAAAATCGTTGTGATTGTCCTGAGTTATATCGTAGGTAAACAAGGGCTTGTTTGGGATTGCTTGTGTAGGAAGAATGTTTGCTCATAAGAGCTTTTGATAAAAAGTGATTTTGTTAGTTAGAAACACATTGAAATTTTTATTGAAAATCCAAGTGTTTTCTAAAACTTCTATGCCCCAGAAGCACTTTTAACTTTTTCTGCCAAACACAATACTTTTAGTTGTCAAAAAGCACTTTTAGCAATTTAGAACAAGTTAGTCAGGATGAGGCTTTTGTGCTGATATATTTTGTTTCCTACGTTTAAGGTTAAGTTCCATACGCGGATGCAATGCCGACCACTGCTTGAAAGCGAGTATAAAGACATCATTGCCGACAACTACTACACCGAGAGTCATTTCTGGTTTGAGCTTGATCACTCGCAAACAAGCAAGCTGACATCTAAGTTTGCATCTGTAAAAGTTGCTCCAAGTAATCCCATACCACAGATACCTAAGTCATCATCTGTAAATGTTGCTCCAAGTACTTCTGTGCCACAAGGTGCGCTGAATTGGAGAAAAGCTTGTTTTCCAGCTCCTCCCTCACATGATACAAAAGAACAACCTCCGGCTTCTCTTTCACATGACACAAAAGAGAAATGTCCGGCTTTTACTTCACATGACACAATAGAGGAACCTGAATGGTTTGAACCACTTACCTCGGAGACTGAGCATTTGAGTGATTCATGTCCGAATTGGGATGCCCCAATTTTATTTGGAAGATATAATGCATTGAATTCCCAATATGATGTGAAAGAGGCTGAACAAGTGGAGCAGGAATGGGTATACGGAAAACTGAAAGAGTTGGCTCTTCAATATGATCTTAACGGTGAATGTCAAGACATGTCTTTCTCTGGAAATGTTGACGATAGTGCTGTCTCAAATGAAATGACCTGGGAGGACACTGAGGAGTCAATGGCACCGTTGGGTTTAGATGAGAAGAGGCCAGAGAGTTCTCGCTCCTCATTTGAGCAGAAGAGCAGAGAGAGTTCCCGATCCTTCTCTGAGAGTCCAATCATAACCAAGGTAGATGAACATTTTAGTAGTTTGTAAATCATAAATCCAATTAATGTTAGGTATCCTTGTTGTTTTTTTGTTTTAATTACAACCACTCTCTTATGTATTATTATGTTGGCATCAGTTGATTGAAGAGGTGGAGGAGCTCAAGGCTTCTAAGAAAGAACAATCTGTGAAGATCGGTTTATTGGAGCACAAGCTGGTAAGTAACACATGCTATGTTTGTTAAACATTCACTAAATTTCGGTTTCTCTGCTTTTCTTCTTCTGCGGAGTCATCTAACCAACATTAAATAGCAAGTTAAGAATGCATTTGCTCATCAGTGGCACTGCATTGGTACCTAAGTAAAAATTCATAATACTAAATGAGTATTGAAGGCCCGGTTTATGCTTTCATATTAGCTTCTTTCTCAATCTGCAAAATAAGAGGTTGCCGGACAGGATCCCTGGTCCAGACCTGATGAAAGTTTTGTTTGAATGACTGCGTTTAACTGTTGTACGGAGAAATCGTTGGGAGCATACTCTTGTCGATAACAGTTCTGGTTTTAATTGTCTTCTTACTGTGAGTTTTGGCGTTCCTGCTGCATTGGTCTTTAAGCCGATTAAGATAACTCAATTAACGAATAAACAAAAACTGAGAGTTGCATTTTTTGCTACAACAAAAAAGGCAGATTAAACTGTGAAATTAGTCAATGCTGCGTAATCGACTTCATTGATCTTATTCCTCTTGTGACTTTGGATTTCTGTTCCGGTATTTCAGAAGAAGGCGGAGCTTGAAATTCAGCAGTTAAAAGTTTGGTATGAAGGTTGAATCGGAGTCCACACCTTAGAAGTTGTATGTGGTACATGACATGGGAGGCAAGGGTAGAGAAGCTGGAGAATGAAGGCGTGGAGGCATGGTTGATTGTATATGCCACTGACAATTATATAGTTTGTATTATCAAATTAATCTAGTACTAATCTACCATAACCTTTTTCTGGGGTGCGTATAATCTCTTCTATAAGTGCCTAAATGGTAGATTGATCTGTTTTGTGAATGTTTTTACTTACGAGAAGAAATCATCTTTTCTTTTGATCGTAATAAAGGATAGTGATTTTTTTAGGAAGTTGAGGTGCCTCGTTGAAATCAATTGGCAAAGGAAGAGTGAATCCACTATTTTCAAGCCTTTGCAGAGTTCTGTAATTTTAGATGTGGGATTCGCACGCTCAACAATTTTTCCAGTCATGTCCGCTTGCACTCTCGCCTTGTTTTTATACTCCGACTTTCTTTTGTTTTTTATTCAATATAAAGGGCTAAATAGGGAGTTCAAAGTCGTTTCCCTATGATATTTAATGAGATCTGATTTTCACATTGCCTTTTGTTTACCTTGTGTGTGTGTGTATATATATATATTATATTTACATTTTTATTTTCTTTTGAATTATTTAATTTAAAAGTTAAAAATAGGTGCGGAAATTATTTTGCTTGATTATATTGTATTAGATGTAATATCCCACATCGTTTAGGGGAGTCGATCTTGTAAGCCTTATATGTATATTTCCATCTCTACCTAGCACAAGACTTTTTGGGAGCTCACTGGCTTCGGGTTTCATCGAAACTCTGAAGTTAAGCAAGTAGCGCGGGAGAGCAATCCCATGATGGGTGATCCACTAAGAAGTTCACGTGTTTCCAGAAACAAAATCATGAGAGCGTGGTTGAGGCCTAAAGCGGACAATATCGTATTACGGTGGAGTCGAGCCTGAAATGTGATGGAGGCCCAGACTAGAATGTGACATTAGATACCTTCGCCTGATAAAACACATGATCATCTGATCTAGTAGAACTCAAGCTTAATTCACTCAATTGGAGAGGCTATGGTTCAAATTCAAATAAAGTGCGAGCATACACAACTTGTGAATGAAAAATACTTTGCTCCATTTGGAAGGAAAAAAGTGTGAGCATATACTAACTTGTGAATGAAAAATAATTTGCTCTCTTTGGATCGAGGCATGTTTACTTTCTTAAGAATCATAATTTAATACGTGTGCGCATAAATTTTTTTTTTCGGTTTTTTTTAAATATTGTGCATGTCAAATTGTAATACTCATAAAGGTAAAACGTCATGGTTTGAAATTGAGCATGGGCACATACTTGGGCTCTTTTATTTGTGACTCATGATTTTCACACTTAACGTTTTTCTTGTTATACTCTCCCTCTTATTTCTGCCTCGCGATTATTCTTTAATTTATCAAATCAAAGACTAGAAATTAAAGCAAGTGACTAAGGGGGTGAAGCTTTCGCCCTCTTGCATTCACTTTCTCGGCAAGGCCACTTCATCCCTCACTTGTCAAAGACTCAGAGTAGTTTTCTCTGTATTTATTTTCTACAAGGAAAGAGATACTAAACACAATAGTTATCTGAATCATTTGAATAGGGTGTTGGGTTTCCACCTAAAGTTCCGAGTTCGAAACTCCCAATTTTCTAAATTATTGTAATAGTTTCAAATCTTCTCATTTCCCTTAATAATAATAATTTAGAAAAAATGTAGTATTAATTCCAAATTTAAAAAAATATGGTTCAAGTTTTATTTATTTATTTATTTTTACACTAGCTTGTGCTCCAAGTTCCTGAACCCTAGATTGGATGAATGGGTTTTCTTGTCTTTATTTATTCTCAAGAATATGTTTTTAATCATTCAGCTCTTGCTTGATTCCGCAGTTTACACGCCTTGCGTTTGATTGCGTTCGATAGATTCCAATCCGTTGTCTTTTTAATGGATTAGATAAATGGGAAATCAACATTCCAATCTCTCAGAAATGTTATGGGAATAAGTTTTCTCCATGCACACGTCAAGGATGTCTTCCAAATTATTATATAATACGGCTCGAGTAGTCTTCTTTATTGGCAACCCCCTCGACGTCGACGGGAAATCTTTTAAGATCTTTCTAAATGTCTGATGATTGTCCTATGCCACCCACCCTTCACCTCGAGTAATCTTTCTTTACTGTAGAACCCTCACCGTCGGCTATTTAAACGCATATTCACAATCAATTTGTATATATCCATACCTTCACTAAGAACCACAATCATTGTACTCAGCTGAAATGGCTGAACTTGCCTTTGATTTGGCAGTCAGACTCACGGAGAAGCTAGGCTCCCTTGCTTACGACGAGATTTGCTTGGCATGGGCGGTTCAATCCGATCTGAGAAAGCTTGAGCGCACCATGTCCACCATCAAAGATGTGCTCTTGGATGCTGAAGAGAAGCAAGCAAATAACAAGCAGCTACGCAGTTGGCTCAGACAAGTAAAAAATGTGTTTCTTGATGCCGAGGATGTGTTGGATGAGTTTGAGTGTGAAGCCCTGCGAAAGCAAGTGGTGAAAAATTTCATGGTACATGTAGAAAGGTACGTCGTTTCTTCTCCCGCTCTAATGCTGTTGCATTCCGTTTGAGGGTGGCTCATGAAATCAAAGAGTTATGGGAGAGGTTAGAAGAGCTTAAAGCCAATAAGTTTATCTTTGATTCTCTCACTAGTCATAGTAAAGGTTACTGTGATGACCATGATAGCAATCTGAAGTACGTGATCAAGGCGAGAGAGACACACTCTTTCGTCCGTGCTTCGGAGGTTGTTGGTAGAGGGCTTCAGAAAGAAGCGATAGTAAACCGTTTGATTGAGCAAGGTGACGATCATGTCTCCATTATTCCTGTAGTTGGAATGGGAGGTTTAGGCAAGACTACACTTTGCCCAGTTGGTGTACAATGATACAAGAGTCATTAGGAATTTTGAATTGAGGATTTGGCAGTATGTGTCACTAGATTTTGATATTGCTAGATTGACAAAAGAGATTCTTAGTTCTGTATTGGGTACAAAAATTAGTGAGATATTGCTAGATTGACAAAAGAGATACCTGGAATTAACTGGAAATGCAAAAATCACGAAACTCCCTGTTGCAGTTTGTAAGTTGCGAAGCTTGGAAATTCTGTGTGTTGAGGGATGTGTGAATCTTGAAGAATTGCCCTAGAGATATAAGCAAGTTGATCAGCCTTAGATCGCTTTACATAACTACAAAGCAAACAAGTTTTCCAGACAATGGAGTGGGATGCATGAAATCACTTCGGTATCTTTCTATTGTGCATTGTGGTAATCTAACCTCTTTGCCACGTGATATGAGTTATCTTGCTGCATTACACACTCTAACAATAGAGGATTGTAAGCAGCTTGATTTGGCGAACGGAAACTATCAACAAATTCCAATGAGGCTCCGAAGTTTGCTTATTGCTAGAGTACCAAGGATGGTGGCATTGCCTGAATGGTTGCAGGGAGCTGCTAACACCCTACGAGTCTTGTGTATTTGGGGTTGTGAAAACTTGGATGCATTACCTGAGTGGTTGACAAGTTTCACATCCCTTAGAATACTTAACCTTAGAGAGTGTCCAAAATTGGTTTCTCTACCAGAAGGGATGCATCCTCTCGAAGTTAAAGTAAAGGATTGTCCTCAATTGAAGAGGGGAATCTAGTGCGAAATCAACGAAGATTGGCAAAAGATTTCTCATGTTCAAGGAGGCTGGGTCTGCTATATTTCCCCATCTATCTCCAAGTTTCTTCTGCTGTGTCTTGATTTGATTTTGAGTTGTGTTTTGTATTGGCAGCTCACTTGGCTTGCCTTGTTTGATTGTATCATGCTTTAATTCGTTTTATTTAGTTTGTACTGCTTGTATCTCTTAACCTTTGAGTTTGTAAGTACCAACGTGTAGGTTCTTTTTTCCTTTGAGTTTGTATCTCTTAACCTTTGAGTAGTTATCACTGAAACTATTAGTTGTTACTATAATACCATAACGAGTTTCAACGTAGATTTTTACACTCCAATTTTATTTGTTTGCACTTCATTTATGCTTATTATATAAATAAAATAATGTGAGCACAAACAGATAAATACAGAGTGTGAAAATAATCACCTTTCCTAATGCAAATTTTATTTGGCTACTTAGAATGAAACGTTTGTACTTTAGACCAAATTATTTTAACGACATTTTGGGACAGCCCAACTCCAACCCATTGGGCCTCACCTCATGCCATTGTCTTTTTGGGCTCTTAAGGCCTCATGGTTCTTTTGTTTTTTGGTTTTGTGGTTTTCATAAGTTCTTTTTATTTATATTTTATTATTTTGTTTTGATCAATTTTTACCCTTTGATTGAATGGGCCTAAAAAAGAAAATATAGGTTTCGCAATTAGCAATAAGTTAAAAACGACAGTTCATCGGAAAATTAAAATTTTTGAACAACTTGAATTTAATCCATCGGTCCTTTTACTTTTCCTTATTCACAATCACACTGTAAGTTAAAGACGACAAGATCACTCATGTGACATTGCCCAATTTTATTTCTCACTTTTGGAAGGAAAAATAGAAAAGAATAATGTTAGATGAAGAAAATATTGAAGAAATTTAGCCTTATTTAATACGTGGTTGTTATATTTGAGACAATTCATCTAATAAAGGACATAATCGTTTAGTCTAGCGGTACTCAAACTCACTCTATTGAGAGGCTTTAAATTCATAATTTTGAACACTAATTGTTAAAAAAAAAAAAATCAAAATGGTAGCACACACTCAAAGTTTAGTTGTCACAGTTTGATACGTGTGCACAAATTTTATTATTGTGTTTTTTAACAAATGTACATACATGGATTATTTGTTCTATACATTTGAATGACTAATTGATCTACATTGAAATGATTTTTATTTGGAAATATCATCTATTGGAAGAATGCAAGTATGTTTTAATGCCAAAATAGGTAAGTAAGAGCTGAAGCTAATTTATTTTTGTGCTCTGGCGTTCCCTTTCTCGGCAAGGTCCCTTCGTCCACCTTCAACCCTTGTTAGACACTCACTATACGATACTCTCTCTAGTTCATCCTTTACAAAAAGTTCATTGGACACGGTTTTGCCCATATAAACATTCTCCAACTTTTCCCATGCTTCCTAGGCAGTCATCTTTTCGGTGATGTGTGACCAAACTGATCTTGTGAGATGGATCTCGATAGAACTCTTGGCCTTCTAGAGAACCTTAGTCCATGCTGCCTATGTCATGTTTTTCGGCTTCTCACCATTGAGTGCATCATCCAAATCCTGCTGCATCAGTACATTTTTCATCATCCTTTGCCAGTCTGTGAAGTCATCCTTGCCGTCAAAGGGCTTTAACGCAGGTACTTGATCCACATTCATCTTCCCTTTTGACATCGTAGAACACCTTGATCCTAGCTCTTGATACCAAATGTTGAAAAACCCGCACACTAGACCTTGTTCTTTAATGTAACCAACGACAATAGACTAAACTAGCAAATATTAGAAAACTTAGAAACACACAAGAATTATATTGGTTCGGAAGAACTTTTGTCTACGTCCAGTTGTGATTTCTCTCACCGCTCCTTTGATTAATAATAGAGATTGTAGAACTTTTGCAAACTCTATAACTAATCTCAAAACTCTTGGTTGTCTGGATGTTTTCTTTCTCTGTAAAAATCAGCCTTGCCTCACCCTATTTATAGGACATAGGGTTGGCTTACATGTCCCAAGCTGATTGAATTCCTATTTCCAAGTGGATTAGAAAATTACACTTATCCAAATCCAAATAGACTTCCAGAAATCCAAACCTAAATTGCATAAGGAAACTGAAATTCTTTCCTAATCCCTCTAGGACAAGAATTGGTATACTTCTAGGTTTCCTAAAACAATCCTAAACCAACTAGGACATATTTGACGAGCCAAAATCCTAATAGCAGTGCCCTTCTCTGAGAGAGAAAAAGGGTAGCTTAGCTGCAGCTACGACAAACAACAATTTTTTTGCAATGGGTGGTGGGAACAGAGTTGATTGCTTTGCAGATGTTGAGATGCTTGATTTAGCCTTGGGACGATGGATCCGTACACAGTCAATGTTACAAAAGGTAATATATATTTAGTCGCTTTCCCTATGATATGTTTTTCTTGTACAAAAATTTTACCTCGTGGCTCTTGATTTGCGCTTCTTTTGTTGTTCCAGCGTATGGCTCTTGCTGCGGTAGAACTCAAAGGTGTGCTTTATGCCACCGGTGGATATGATGGGAATAGTTATTTGAAGTAAGATATTGAACCTCCTTTCTATTGTTTAGTTTTCCTATATCGATGGTTGACTTGAAATGTTTGCATCTCAGCTCTGTTGATAGATTCGACCCCAGAGAACGCAGTCGGACCAAAATTGCCTCTACGCATTCGAAAAGAAGCTGCGAGTCATTGGTTGTTCTTAATGAAAAAATGTCAGTACATTTCTTTGACTTGTTTCAATCAGCATCTCAGACACGCTCCCACGATGACTTAGATATGTATATTCCGCTAAATGCATAACTCATGCAGATAATTTGACATGAGAACTTGTCATGAACTTAGACAGGTAATGAATTTTTCCGCCGTTGCTTGATCTGATAAGACATTCGTTTTCGATTGAGACCTTGTCATAAAGTTAGACATAAATCACTTCTTTTGTTGACCATCTCTGCACAAGATAGTCCATGGTTGCTCCACTGTACTATTGCCCGGTTGCCCAAATCACTTAAGGCATTACTTGGTGTCAAGATTGAGTTGGATTAGTGATGCAGAATAAATGTACGTTAAACCCTAATTTCTGGTTACTTGGTTCTACATAAATTAGATAACTCACTATATTAAATCGACATCAAAGGATGGGATGGGATTAGTCGCAGGGGAAACTTATCCTTCCCAATCTTACCAATTTTGCTAGGATTGGAATGAATAAGTTTCCATCATGTTCTACCCTTAACTTCGACAAAAATTTGAAGTTGACATCCGTTTCTTCATTTCATGTACATCAAGTCTATGGAGTTCTCCAATGCAATCCAATCATTGACACCAAACAAGGCCTTAAGAAAATATACAGGCATTAGATTTTTGGTTGGTGTGATCTGATCAGATCCACCTTTTATTTTGTTCAATTTTGGTGTTTAACTTGTTTTTTCACCTTCACAATTATGGACATTCACTTTTGCAGATATGTTCTGGGAGGCTTTGATGGAGATTCACTGGTCCATAGCGTGGAAAGTTTTGATCCACGGCTTGGGTCATGGATGCCGGCTGAACCAATGTATTTCCCCAGGGGATATCCAGCAGCTGCTATTGTCGAAGATACCATGTATGTAATCGGAGGGATGAAAGACGATGAAAACATAGCAGAGACAGTAAGTTTCATTTTACAATGTTTTCCAGTTCCCATCAGTATGCACAACTTTTGTGGGTAATTTTGACAGTAGTATAAAATGGTAGGTCGAATACTACTACGAGGGGCAAGATTGGCGGGAAATGGCCACGGTGACCATCGGTAAAAGGTGTTTCATGTCTGCGGCTGCTTTTTCGACCTGATCGTGCAATGTTCGTAGGTGTTAACTTAGACATGAAAGTCTTGTGGTCCATCAAATGTGTTTTTAGTGTTGCATGAATCGCTTTCGAAAAGAAAAACGAGAAGCGATTTGACCAATAGAATGGGGACTTACATATACTCTTAGAATGCCACTTTGACGTCACACACAAATAATAATATCATGTGAAAAAAAATTAAAACACATGAAATTAGTGGTCCTAGATGTCAAAGTAGCATCCCGAGGGTTACAACTCATGTATAGGGCCAACTACTGTAGAATCCATAAAAGGGTGCACTATTTAAGGATCGACTTGGGCCAGTTCATGAATCCATAAAAGGGTGCACTAATTGTATGCGGTCCATAACTCAAGTAAGATGGGCCGGCTCCTAAACTATGGGTGGGCTTAACTACCATAGCCCTCTAGGTTTTTTTTTTTTTTTTTTATTGTATAAAGTTAATATTAAGGTAGAGAAAAGTTTTTGAAAAAAAAAAAAAAAAAAAAGAAGAGAAAATTGAACTTATGCAGATGCGGGGGATAAACGCTCTAAACTCCACTAGTTGTTGTTGTTTTTTTTTTTTTTTTTCCTAGAATAAATATTGATCTATACTACGTTTTTTATAAACAATATTTAATTTTAAACTTGTCATAATTACGTTCGATTTTCAATTAATCTAAATTGTCTGAAGAAGGATTCAAACTTGTATGTTAGGGGACACCACATTCATCCAAACTAATATGAATGATTTTAAAAACTAAAGGAAGCCAAATATTAGATTTTAGTTTTCATGGTAACTACTTTGAGTTTTCAAGCTTCCAAAAAAAAAAAAAAATGGAAATAAGAAAATTGTAATTAGTTACCAAACAAGTTTCAAAATTCAATTTAACAAAAAAAAATTAAAATTAAAAATTAAAAACTAAAAACTAAATTGTTATTAAATGACCATAACCAAAAAAAAATCAATTAATGAAGATGTTGATCATATTATATAAGGGGGTGTATTGGAAAAGAATTCTGCTAGATTCTAAAGGATTTATAAATTCATGTGTATCTAACTATGATTTTAAATGACTCTTTTAAACGCAAGTGGAATTCAATTTAGAATCTTAGGCCTCGTTTGGCAGCTCGGACAGTACTGATTATTTTTGTCGGATAAGATAAATAGCCATCGGATAGTACTGACTAAATTAATCGGGCGTTTGGTGCAGTATCAGACTAATGACCGTATTATTTATACTGTGTTTGGTACTGAACCGGATAGGACAAGGGAAAAAACAATTTGACAAATCTTTGTTTGTTTGTTGAACTTTTCTCATATTTATACCTTTTGAAAACCACATAAATTTTCAAATAACAAAAAGAAAAATAGTATCAAATTCACAAGCAAGATATGCATTCCTCATTCTTCAAGTTAAATTAAAAATTAACACGAAATACTATCAAATTTCATACCTCTGAGCTACAAGTACTAAGACAGAACAAATAGGCACAGGAAGCACTGCACCTAAAAGCACTTAAATCATATGAAAGTTGGAGAACAAACAGATTAACAGCACAACCCAGTTAGCTAAATCCAGCAAAAATCAAAAAACGCATGCAGCCACACAAGTCCAACTATTGAAATATCAAAACATCACTAGCAACCCATTTCTCTAAAAGCATCAGAAACTCGATGCCCAATTCACAAAACCCACCAAAATTTGATCCCGGTGGGTGCAAAATCTTAAACATACACAACAAAAATAAGAACCCATATCAATAAAAATTGGAACTTTATACTCAAAATCGAAGAGGCATACCGGGCAAGCGTTGCGGTTTTTGGGTAGCCCGAAAAAAGCAGCAGCGTAACGATAAAGACGAGGAGAAAGTTGGGGGAAAGTGGCTAGGAGAGAGAGAGAGAGAGAGAGAGTGAGCTTCTGGAGAGGAAGAGAGAGCATCTGGAGACCGCCATCTAGAGAGGAAGGAGAGAGCGAGAGAAGCCCGGGAAGAAGAAGAAGAAGAAGAAGAAAAATGAAAAGACGAACTATGATGCAAACGAAGAGAAGAATTTGAGAAGACGAACCTGGGATTCAGACGAGAGAGGAGTGCGTCTGGAGAGGACGAGAGGGTCTGGAAAGGAAAGAGGGAGCGAGAGAAGCCCGACTAAATTATACCATGCTTTTGGACGGTATAAGGAAGAGGGTAAACACGTATAAAAAGGGTGGGCCCGGATTATTTAATTCGGTGCCTATTTAATCCAAACAGACACCAAACACCGTCCTTCGTATTATTAGTACTATCCGGTGTCTTATACGATGTGCCAAACAAGAAGGATTCAATCCAAGTATGGTGGTATTCAATCTAGACTTTGAAAGTGTCTTTTAAACTCTGTGGATATTGAAAAAGCCAGTGAATTTGTGGAATTCAATGAATTAGAGGAATTTTGATGGACTCTAGGGTGTGAGTTATAAATATCAAAGGCCCTCACAAATCATGCATCCCCTCAGGATTTCAGCGTGATATCTCTGTAAATACTAGAAGTCTCATCTTCTACGCACAGAGGTCTATATACTATACTTTCTCCTCTGTAGAATACATTCTTTACATTTTATGAAATAATATTGTAAACACGAATTTTTCCTGAAACCAGAGAGACAAGAATACGTGTACAAAATATATTTTTTGTATTAATGATTTTGGGGTTACAATCTCTTTGTAATTTGATCCTCTGATTCTATCTTCGTAGGATGTGAGTTTGTGGATGAGTTGTTGATCCAAAGGGCCGTCGGGGCTTGATCTAAGGATGCACAGTTGATGAATGGATCTTCAAGGGGCGTTGGGCTTGATCTTGAAGGTTGATGGATGAACGGATCTTCAAGGGCTTCTGGGCTTAATCTTGAAGGATGAACGGATGTGTGGATTTGTTGAAGTTGTTGATCCAAAGGGGCCGTTGGGGCTTGATCTTGAAGGTTGATGGATGAACGGATCTTCAAGGGCTTCTGGGCTTAATCTTGAAGGATGAACGGATGTGTGGATTTGTTGAGGTTGTTGATCCAAAGGGGCCGTTGGGGCTTGATCTTAGGATGAACGGATGATGAATGATGAACACTTTCTTCAAGGGGCCGTCGGGGCTTGATCTTGAGTTGGTGGGAATTCTTCAAGGGCCGTTGGGGCTTGATCTTGAAGGTTGATGGATGATGAACGATGAACACTTTCTTCAAGGGCCGTCGGGGCTTGATCTTGAGTTGGTGGAAGTTCTTCAAGGGCCGTTGGGGCTTGATCTTGAAGGATGATGAACGATGAACGCTTTCTTCAAGGGCCGTCGGGGCTTGATCTTGAGTTGGTGGAAGTTCTTCAAGGGCCGTTGGGGCTTGATCTTGAAGGATGATGGATGATGAACGATGAACACTTTCTTCAAGGGCCGTCGGGGCTTGATCTTGAGTTGGTGGAAGTTCTTCAAGGGCCGTTGGGGCTTGATCTTGAAGGTTGATGGATGATGAACGATGAACGCTTTCTTCAAGGGCCGTCGGGGCTTGATCTTGAGTTGGTGGAAGTTCTTCAAGGGCCGTTGGGGCTTGATCTTGAAGGATGATGGATGATGAACGATGAACGAAGAGTGCTTTCTTGATCCTTCGGGATTTGCTTGAGAGCTTTAGAGTTTCAAGGCTTCTTCCTTTCTTCCTTTCTTTCTTTCTTCTTTCTTCCTTCTTTCTTCTTTCCTTGCTTCCCTATTTATAGAATTCCAAAACTTGATTTTTGGATTTAAATAATCAGATGAAATAAATCATTTCTGCCAGGTATTGACACGTGTCATATTTGATGACTTTTCCAATTTATTTCGATTTTTGGTTGAGGCACACGCTACATGTAAAATTTATGTGATACGTGAGCGTTGAAATTTTAATTATTGGTCAACATTCATTTCACCGAAATTTTGATGTCTACAAATGCCCCCACTTCAAGGCGCGTCGTAAACATGTGCTTGTCACGTGTAGAAGATGCGTTTTGAAGTCCCTTAATGTAGATGTCAACCCAAGGGCCGTCGAGGCTTGATCTTGAATTGGGCAGGAAATTTCTTCAAGGGCCATCGAGACTTGATCTTGAGCTTGACTGGAAGATTTTCTGGTTTCCTCCAATCGTTGATTTTCCGCAGGCTTAATCTTGAACTGAGCTGGAGGATTCTTTTGGTCTCCTCCGAAGGTCTGAACTTACTCCTTTGATCTGGAGTTGAATTTGATTCAAGGGTGGTGAACACTTGATTTTGAATCGGACTTGTGATTTCTTCAAGGGCCATCGAGGCTTGATCTTGAACTGGGCTGGAGGATTCTTTTGGTCTCCCCCTATCGTTGATTTTCCTTTGTGCTACTCTTGAACTGGGCAGCAGGATTCTTTTGGTCTTCCCCGAAGGTCTGAGCTTACTCCTTTTTTTCTGTTTCTTTGTTCAATCTCTCCAATTCGTATTGAAGAGGGTTAGAGGATAGCTCAGCATATGCAGTCGTAGCTTGTCTCCACATGCTTCAATGCATCATTTTCACTTGCCTTACTTGCTCCCCTTTGCAGAAGTGGTATTTCCTTATGCAGGTTTAGCATCTTCTCTTGTACTATTTGTTCCTGATGCAGGAGTTGAATGCAAACCTTGCATTTGAATGGACCATCACTTCTTGGTGGCAGCGCAAGTTTGAGTGGAGGTTCCGACATATTGCTTTCTCTGTCCTTGTCCTGGCAGGTGAGAACAAGGGCAAAGGAAAAGATAGGGGAAAAGCATGATATGAGATACCTTTGCTTTCGCCCTTGATGATATGAGATACTTTTGCCTTGGTGTCATTTGTTTGCAAGGGTATTCCCGGAGAGGAAGAAAACTGAGCATTTTGAGATGCTTTGCTGGGAGTGTACTCTCGGAGGTGAGGAAGAGTTGGGCATTTTTTTTTCTTGTTTGCAGGTTTGCCTTGCCATAAAAGATGAAGGTCGACATATATAGGGATTTTCCAATAGCAAGTGGTGGTACTGTTCTTTTACCTTTGTCGACAAACGTTTTGAT